CCTGTTCAGCAGTCAATCCACCATCAGCTACATTTTCACCTAGCATTCGTTTACGGCGTATTTTTCTTCTTTCAATGGTCATCCACATGTTTCACATTGATTCTTGCCCACTTTAAGTGCTCCTTAACAGGACTTTTCACGTGATTCTATCAACTTAACTTTCAAAGAATCAAGATCAGCAGCTGCTTCTCTAAAATTCATTTTTGGGTCCTGAAGACGTTTCTGCACTCGATTGATAGATGATAAAAGATTTCTCCAAAAATGCAAAAGTACAAGAAAATCAAATGTAAGCATGCGTTGCAGAATCTTATAAGCAACACATTTTGTTTCAGCCGTGTTGCCATTCTCACTTAATTGCTCTAACAGCCCTAGCAATTCATCCAGTTTTTCATGTACAACTTTTACTGCCTTTTCTCTTGCACTCCACCGTGTTTCTAATTCACGCTTGACAAAGATCTTAAGTTCCTGCTGCAGTTTGTCCCATCGAGTTGTTGAATGAGCAAAGAAATTATAAATGGCTTCAATTATACCAAAAAAAGGTAATAACTGTTGTTTCCTGACTTGCAGCATGAAGGCATGCTAAGTTCAAACTATGGTTGTCACAGTTTATAAACACTACTTTTGGATTTTTGTTCAGAATTCTTTGTTGAATGCCTGACAGATGACCTGACATGACAGCAGCATTATCATAACATTGTGAACAACAATCACTCAATAAAATTCCATCCGCTTCTAATTTTGTTGTTTTCTCAATATTGGCAGCGTCTTTTTCCTTTATCTTCTTTTTCCTTTTTGACTTCTACTTTTCTTGTCTTAAAGTCAATGTAAAACAAACCGAATCACTTGGACCAATTGCTCACAATGGGCTAAATCAGGTGTGAAATCAAACAGAATACCGTAGTATTTATTTCTACGAATTGCTGACAAACAATAATTTCGCACATGTGAAGCCATGAGATTTATAAACTCATTTTGGATTTCAGGAGAAAGATAAGATGTTGACGTTTGCTTGTTTTTAACACGCTCTAAATGCTCTCTCATTACTGGATCATACTTTGCTAATAACTGCAAAAGTGACAGGAAATTTCCAGGGTTTTCGTTTGAGGTTATGTCCTCAGTATGACCACGAAATGCAAGATTCTAAGAAGCTAAATATTGTGTACAATCCAGCAACAGTCGCAGTACATCTCTCCATTTATTTTTCTTGCTGAATTTGCCTTTGCAGCTCTTCATCAATGACACTTTGAAGTCGAATTCGGTGCTCAGTTTTTTTTTCCAAGCAGTAAATGATTCACGATGACTGTCGCTATTTTCATGGGCATTTAACTTTTCAATTTTTTCCACTTAGAGAATCCACCCTGTATTCTGAAAGCAGACCAACTATCGAATGTCATACATGTAGATGAAAAAAGAAAACAACAAAAGCAGTATGCTGCTTTATGTAGAGGTGAATACACCAACCAGGAACGATTGACCATTCAGAAGGCATCATTTGAACCAAAATGCAGTCATAGAACACCCATCTTTGGCATCAAATAGACCTTCTTTATGTTGAAATTCATGTGCTCCAACTTTAACAATCTCTGTGCGATGTGCATGTATTAAAACTGCTGAGCCTGTTGTATCAAACTTCATAAATCCAATATTCCTGTGTGTTAAAATATTTATTAGGTCATCCGCTTTTAGCTTAGCAACACTATTCTGTGGATTTGTTTCTGACAAAGTGGAATCCTCTTGTTTATTATTATTGTAGCTTTCAAGGGGACAGAGAACAGTTTCTTCATTGTTTTCTTTTTAAACGAAATAGCATTTCACAATCTTGCACTCT